CATAAAATAAATAAATAAATAAAATAAAATACATTAACAGAAATAATAATTATAATAAGAGCACTAGGGCAACCCATTTGAGAACCCTCATGTCTCTCAGGAACTATTCCTATAAGATCACTAGCTGGGAATAAAATCACTGCAGATCATTAAAATCTTTTTTTTTTTTTTGATATGCATTTGGTTTACAGAGCCCTGGTGGCCAGCTCAGTGCACACAGGGTCTGGGTGAGGGCCAGTGCCACATATGGTGCCGGGATCAAACCCCTGTCCCTGTGCTTGCCTAAACAGGTGCTTAGTCCACTGAGCTATCTCGCTGACCCTATGATCTTATTTTTAAAGTGTAGAAACACCAAGTCCTGTAGCTATTTTATAATAACTTCGTAAGTAATTTCACTTTAAGAAATCTACAACCTCAGCTGAGCATGATAGTACACACCTATAAGCCTAGCTACTTAGGAAGTGGAAGTAAGAGGATCCCAAATTTATTTATGTATGTATTTATTTATTTATTTTGGTGGAACCAGGGATCAAACTCAGGCCCTTGCGCTTGCCAGGGAAGCGCCTATTCCACTGAGCCATCTCCTCGGTCCCTAGGATCCCAAATTTAGTGAGATTCTGTCTCCCAAAAAAAAAAGCCAACTGTGTAGTGGCACATGCCTGTAATCCCAGCTCTGTGGAAGCTGAGGCAGGAGGATCGTTCTGAGTTTTTTTAGGTTTTTTTTTGTTTTGTTTTGTTTTTGCGGAACTGGGGATTGAACTCAGGGCAAGTGCTTATTCCACTGAGCCATCTCCCCAGGCCCTCGTTCTGAGTTTTGAAACCAGCCTGGGCTACATAAAGTGAGTTCAAGGCCAGCTTGAACTCCATAGTGTGACCCTGTCTCAAAAATAATAAAAATAATAATATAGTAATAATAATGGGCCTGGAGATATGGCTCGGTGGATATGCCCAGTGTGTGTGAGGCCTCATTCTATCCTTAGTGCCAGAGAGAAAGAAACTAATTAATTTGCATGTTTAAGTATTGATCGATCTTCAGATTGGCTGTTATTTCTTGGTTGTTAGACATGTTTCCTTTGTTGACTGTCCTGGCCATGACATTTTGATGGCAACTATGCTGAACGGTGCAGCAGTGATGGATGCAGCGCTCCTATTGATAGGTAAGTACATCAGAATTGATTTGGACAAGTTGGTATGGCTCAGATGCCAAGGGGAAACTAAGGCCACATCCATTACCTAAGGGTGATGTAAATGGGCCCCTCATGTCATCCAGGATGACGTTCTTTCCTACCAGCTATCACGAGGTACTAAACAAGATAAAACTGGGGCTGACAGCATCTGAGAACTCTCATGATGGTAGTCAAAAGAAACAGTGTGTTTTCCCTGTTGAAATCACATGACTTTAAAGTTTATGTGAGCTGGTCATGGTGGCTCATGCCTATAATCAATTTAAGGCCAGCCCAGGGAACATGTGAAACCCTGTCCCAAATAAATAAAAATAAGAGTAATGTATGAAAGAGTATGTATGTGTTGTGAGGCTTTTTCTCTGAGCAGGAGGATCTCTGGGAGTTTGAGACCAGCCTGCGACTACAAAAGTGAGCATAAGGCCAGACTGAACTGCTTAGCGAGACCCTGTCTTTAAAAACAAAACAAAACAAAAAAGTGTACAATTTAGTGACATCAGTACTTTTACGTATTGTACCACATAGTGGTTACAGCATCACCAACACCGGGTTCCAGAGCTTGCCCATTAGCAGTCACTGCCCAGGCCTTCCTCCCCTCTGTCTCTAACAACCAATAATTACTTCTTGTCTCTGAATTTGCCTGGTCTGAATATTTCTACCTATCCTTACCTATCTTTTTTTATTCCTCATCAATCAGCTGGCAATGAATCTTGCCCTCAGCCTCAGACTTCTGAACACTTGGCTGCAATAGAAATCATGAAACTGAAGCATATTTTGATCCTGCAGAATAAAATCGATTTGGTAAAAGAAAGTCAGGCTAAAGAACAATATGAACAGATCCTTGCATTTGTACAAGGTAAGAAGCCGTAGTATCTTAAAGTCTATGAATCCCTTCAAGAAGCATTTCCTCTGGATACCAAGTATTGATTTACATCTTAATATAGTACACTGTCTAAAACAGGGTGATCTTTGAGTTCTTAAGACTTATTTGCCTCTTTACTACTTGATTGTATAACCAGTGAGATCTATATTTCTGAATTTGATAAAATGTATACTTGGCAGCTGAAAGTTAGAATTGAAGTTAGAGTCAATGAAACTTATCTCAGACTTTAAAGACTGTCAGAGGGCGCCAGGGAGATGGCTCAGTGGAGTAAGAGCTTCCCTGACAAGTGCAAGGGACTGAGTTAAATCCCTGGTTCCACCCAAAAAAAAGACTGTCAGAGATGGAGGTGGAGCTCAGTGCTTAGCCAGTGTGTGCAGGCCCTGGATTCAGTCCCTAGCACTGCCCCATCCCCCATCACCAATGGGAACGAAAATGAATAAAAGCATTTAAAAAATCTTCATAATGTCCTTTTTCCTGGCTGTATAGTGTTTCATTTCAGGAACGAAACACATCTTACTGTTCACTTCTTTTTTTTTTTTTTTTTTGCGGAACCGGGGATTGAACCTAGGCGTTTGCACTTGCCAGGCAAGCACTTATTCTACTGAGCTATCTCCCTGGCCCCTTACTGTTCACTTCTGATTCTCCCTTAATCTTGCTGTTCTTATTAGAAAGCTTCCTATGAAACCAATTCTGTCATCATGAAAAAGAAAAGTGATTTTGATTAACATCTAATTATGTTTGCTACATTTCTTTGACCAATCTGCTTGACATATGATTAATAAGGTACAAACATTATATGTGTTGTTAGTCTTTGATTAGCAAAGAGTCTATAATTTTATCTTGACACTTACTGGGAGCTTAATTACATGTTACTAGAAATCTTTGCAGCTATAAAGTGCTCTTTCCCAGGAGTGCATTTCATCTTTAAACAGTTGTGCTACTTTACGATATTAAATATACCAGTGTGATTTTTTTTTTTTTTTTTTTTTTTTTTTTTTGCGGAACTGGGGATTGAACTCACCCCTGCACTTGCCAGGCAAGTGCTTATTCTACTGAGTCATCTCCCCAGTCCCACCAGTGTGATTTTTAATAGTTTTTATCTTAAAAGAAACTGTTGATTTCCAGGAATTAAAAAAAGTAGGATATTGCCGTCTTCTAAACAGAACTATCTCAATCTACTTGTTAACGTTTGGGAATATGTAGGTTTTTATTTTGATAATCATAGTTTTACATGACATATGTAGAGCAAGTTTTATGAAACTGCATTGTTCTCAGTAGGATAAGTGCTTGACTGGCAAACACAAGGATCTGAGTTCAATCTCCGGTTCCGCCAAAAAAAAAAAAAAAAAAAAAAAAAAAAAAAAAAACTGCATTGTTTTGGGCCGGAGACATAGCTCTGAGTTCAATCCCTGGTGCTGCAAAAAAAACCTTGCATTGTTTTGATCTTTTTGAATTTTATCTTATAGGTACAGTAGCAGAAGGAGCTCCCATTATTCCAATTTCTGCCCAGCTGAAATACAATATTGAGGTTGTCTGTGAGTACATAGTAAAGAAAATACCCGTACCTCTTAGAGACTTCACTTCAGAGCCTCGACTTATTGGTAAGTAATAGGAATCTCCTTCTAATTAGGTCTCTTTGATTTGTTTTGTTTTGTTTTTTGTTTTTTGGCGGAACCGGGGATTGAACTCGGGTCCTTGCGCTTGCCAGACAAGCACTTTTTCTACTGAGCTAGCTCCCCAGCCCCTAATTAGGTCTCTTTGAGACAGGCTTTCACTCTGCAGTTCAGGCTGGCCGTAAGCTCCCTAGGTAACCCAGGCTGACATCACACTCATGGCAATCCTCCTGCCTCAGCCTCCCAAGTGCTGGGGTTGCAGACATGGGCCACTGCGCTCAGCTAATGTGGTCTTTTCTACGTTAGCCATTCCCCTCTAAGGGTGTTTCTTAATATTTCTTGGTGCAGAGGTGAGAATAAATCCATAAAAGCTTTTGAAATTGATCGGCACTGAGGTCATGTTGGCAGTGAATGCAGATGGCAATACTGGATGGGGCGCAGAGTCCCGAATGCAGTGGAAGCTTAACCTTTTTATGCTCCGGCTACGGCGTGCTGTGTGAGCAACATGGAGTAGTAAACTCCTCTAGCGATAGTGCGTTAGAGTGTCACAGTTTCCATACAGATGGTGTCAGTGTACCCTGATGAGGTGCTGCTATTGTGACTTGATTACGCAAACCTGTCGTCCTCCACGGTCCATGTAGGAGCCTTTGCAGAACTGGCATTTCAGCCCTTGTGGGCCTCCATTTGGGGCTCCTGTTTGGTAGAAGTTCATTTGGGTGAACTAAGTTCTAGAATTTTGGTTTTAAAAGGAAAAACGTTTATTTTTAGCTGAGTGTGGTGGCACATGCCTGTAATCTCAGCAGTCAGGACGCTGAGACAGATGGAGGGCCACAAGTTTGACGCCAGCCTGGACTACAAAGCAAGACTTGTCTCAAAAACAAAATAAATAGACCAGGGAGATAGCTCAGCGGTCTAAGCCCCCGCCTGGCACGCACAAGGACTGGGGTTTGATCCCTGGTACCACATGCCGTGCCGGCCCCGCCCTCACTGAAGCCAGGTGTGGTGGCGCAAGCCTGTAATCCCAGCGGTGAGGAGGCTGAAATAGGAAGATTGCTGGGAGTCCGAGCTGCATAGTGAGACCCTACATCGAATACATATATTAAAAAATAAAATAAATTTTTATTGTAGAGGCTGTGTAATATAGGGATCCCTTACATAAAGTGGGGTGATGATTACGTACAACCTATGCATATCCTCGTGTGTACTTTTAACCCTTCACCCCTGCTGGGGTGAATCCCAGGGTTTTGTGCATGTTCAACAGGTTTTATAATTCTTATTTTCTTTAATGGTATTATGAGTGTCCTTCCAGATTACTATCTTTCTGTTGCTGATTTTTTGAAGACAGGGTTTCACTATGTAGCCAAGGCTGGCCTTAAACTCAAACTCAAGATGATCCTCCTGCCTCAGCCTCCCATATACTGTAATATGCCATCTATTGATGACTTTCAAGTTATTACCATTTTTCTCATTGTAAGTAAGGCTGTGATAAGGATGAATAATAATATTTTACTTAGAAAAATTGACTCAGAAAATAACATTTCATCTAAAGTTAAAATTAGTGAAAATGGCTTTAATTTCTTCAATTTTCTTTCAGTTATTAGGTCATTTGATGTCAACAAACCTGGTTGTGAAGTTGATGACCTTAAGGGAGGTGTGGCAGGTGGTAGTATCCTAAAAGGAGTACTGAAGGTAAGCTGAATTTGGGTCATTATGTTTTTGTTTTTTTATTTTGTCCTTTTTGTGTGTGTTTTTGTGTTTCAGCTAGAGGGTCGCACTATGTAGTTCAGGCCGGCCTCGGACTTATTCATTGTGTAGCTCAGGATGACCTTGAGCTTGGACAGTCTTGCTTCAGCCTCCCAATTTCTGGGATTACAGAAATCTACCATCATGCCAAGCTATTTTGTCTTTGTTTTTTGTTTTTGTTTTTTTTTCTTTCTTTTTTAGCATAGGGTCTACAGGGTCTCACTATGTATATCAGACTCTAGTGATCTGCCTGTGTTCAGCCTCCCAAGAGCTGGGATTACAGGTGCGTGTCACCACGCCCAGTCTCAATCGCTGTCTCAGTGTGCCCCACGGGTGGGACCAGCATGACACACCATGGATTGAACTCTGACTGCTGCGCTGTGCCTGAGCAGGCACTGTATGTGTGTGTGTATGTATGTATGTATGTATGTATTTATTTTTGTGGTACCGGGGATTGAAGTCAGGACCTTGTGCTTGCCAGGCAAGCACTTTACTAAGCTGTCTCCCCGGCCCCTAGCACTTAAAAGCACTCCTAGCACTTGGGAGGCTGAGGCAGGAGAATTGCAATGAGCTGAAGACCAGCCTGGTTGTACATACTGAGTTCAAGGCCAGTGTGAACTACATAGTGAGATCCTGTATCCAAAAAAAAAGTGATGTTTAAAATAAAGGGCTTGCCTTAACAGTTTATGATTTCCGTGTTAGAAGTCTTAACAGGTGAATTGTGTACCATGAGAATTCTCACTACTAACTGTATGTTTACAGGTGGGCCAGGAGATAGAAGTCAGACCTGGCATTGTTTCCAAAGATAGTGAAGGAAAGCTCATGTGTAAACCAATCTTTTCCAAAATTGTATCACTTTTTGCGGAACATAATGACCTTCAATATGCTGCTCCTGGAGGTCTTATTGGTAAGGATTTTTCTCTGGCTCCTTTTGTTTTAATTTGTTGACATCCATAGACTTGTTATGGGAAGTGACTTACTCAAAGGTATATTGTAGATTTCTTTCTTTTTTTTTTTTGTATTTTAGGGAAGGGTCTACAGGATGTTCAGGGTCTCAATACAAGATCGAACTGGTAGTGATCTGCCTGTTTACAGCCTCCCAGGAGCTGGGATTACAGGCATGTGTCACCACGCCCAGTCTCAGTTGCCCTCTCAGTGTACCCTGGGGGCAGGGGCCAGCACCACAGACCAGGGATCGAACCCCTGGCCCTTTAATCCGCTTAGCTATTTGGCTGGCCCTATATTGTAGATTTCTTTTTTTTTTTTTTTCATGGTACCAGGGATTGAACTCAGGACCTTGCACTTGCTTAAGCCACTGAGCTGTATTCTCAGCCCTGTTATTAAAGATTTTTAATTGATTATTTTAACATTTGAATTGGGTGAGGGAACATTTATGTAGTTAAAAAATATTAAAACAAGCTGATTAAGTTCAGCTATTAGTCACTAGGCTACCTTGTGTCACATGTTACTAACTTTGCAAAAGTATAAAGAAGTGTTTTGTGGTGGGAAAAAAAGAAAAAATATGTTTACACAAGATAGTTTGAATGGATAGGTTTGTACTGATTGTTTAGACAAAATATCATGTCTGCATCTTGTGCTCTGAATAACCACTAGGAAGATAGCAATATGCAATGCATTAATTATTGCCCTGCTAACCTGTTTTGAAACTGTTTCATTGCTATTTTGTCTTTTTTCTCATTAAAATGGTGTGCCTGTAATCCCAGCAGTTGGGAAGCTGAAACAGGAGCATCACAAGTTCAAGACCACCCTGGGGTATATTGCAAGACCCTGTCTCCAAAACAAAAACAAACCAAAAAGTAATATATATGCAAACATATATGTACATAAACATACGGTGCTTTTTGGTTTTTTTTAAATAGTCTCCTTGTTATTGCCCAGGCTGACCTAGAACAGTTGGACTGGAGCACACCTCCCACCTCAGCCGCTTGAATAACTGAGACTGTGGGCAGTGCCACTGTACCTGAATCCTACGCATAATTGCAGATTATTTTAACCTGTACAGTGTGTAGGGTAGAGAGTGGTTGCTTTTCGTGTATGTCTTACAAATGGAAGGTTAATGGTAGGGCACTTGCGTAGCGTGCGCAAGGCCCTGGGTTCACTCCCCAGCAAAGCTCTCCTACCCCCCCCACCCCCGCCCAAGTTACTAAACATGTCAATTGAGTGATAACATTATATTTACACTGAGTGGGAATGAAAGAAGACACCTCTACCTGGGCACGGTGGCCCATAGTCCTAGGTACTTGGCAGGCTCAAGCAGCAGGAGCATTTGAGCCCAGGGGTTTAAGGCCTGCCTGGCCTCAAATATAAGTGGAGGAGAGGGGAGATAATCTCTGTTGTATAGGAATTGCTAAAGTAATTTAAGGCTTTGCTAGTTTTAATTCAGGAACACTTCAAACTTAACAGTAGAAAATGGAGATTACTTAACCATAGCCTTAAGTAGCATCACTTGGCTTTATCGGTTTTCAGTATCTAACCAGTTCTTGTCTGCATAGCTTTTGTTTTCTTTTTTTCTTTTCTTTTCTTTTTTTTTTTTTTGTATCCGGAATCAAACTCAGGGCCTTGCTCTTGCCAGGCAGGCTCTGTGTGCTGAGCTGTATTCCTGGCAGGATGCATGATTTTAAAGTGGATCCCAGTAATTGGATGTGAAGTCTTTAAGCTGTCTTTGTGATCAGCTTGCTGGGAGGGAAATGGCATGCAGATACTCTGCGAGCCACTCACTGTGAGTTTTGTATCTTTTAGCCTTTACTGGGTGTAGAATATTATCTCTCCTGGTCCTTTGTTTAGAATTTAAATGAGGAGACTGTTCTCAATTGCTCAGTGAACCTGTGAGTTTACTGTTCTCTTCCACCCCATAAAATGGGTGTTTTGTTATACTCATTGCTATATACGTGGGTATGAAAATATAAGTATATGTTAAAATTATAGATTTTGCTGTGCTTCTTTGACTAAGCTTTTGAGCAAATACTTCAAAGGTATATCAGGAAATAAAAACTGATCAGTCTACATTTTTCTCTTACATAGGAGTTGGCACAAAAATTGACCCCACCTTGTGCCGAGCTGACAGAATGGTGGGGCAGGTCCTTGGTGCAGTTGGAGCTTTACCTGAGATATTCACGGAATTAGAAATTTCCTATTTCCTACTTAGACGGCTTCTAGGTGTACGCACTGAAGGTGACAAGAAAGCAGCAAAGGTGAATGCGTTCTCTAATTCCAGTTTCCAAATAAGTTGAAAAAAAGTGACATTAAAGGGCTGGGGAGAGGGCTCAGTGGAATAAGCGCTTCCCTGGCAAGCGCAAGGGCCTGAGTTCAATCCCCGGTTCCGGAAAAAAGAAAAAAAAGGTGACATTAAAGCCAGTTTTGCATTTTAGTCTTTTATAGTTAATATGGAATTCAGGTAAGTTAATTTGACTTCCTGAAAACTGAGAACAGCTGTATGGCAGTTAGCTTAAGGTCAAAACAGAACACAAAAATAGGGAAAATATTTGTGTCATGTGTGATGTAAACATGATATTCCTAATGTCCATACAGGCTCTTTTTTTTTTTTTTCTTCTTCATATGAGCTTTTTAAAAACATTTTTTTGAGATAAGGTTTTACTCTGTAGTCCATGCTGGCTTCAAACTCATGATTCTCCTGCCTCGACCTCCTGATTATAGGAGGATTAAAGGCCATGTGGGCTTTTTTAAAAAGTCTTTTAGTGGGGCTGGGGAGATAGCTTGGGCAGTCTAAGCACCTGCCTGGCAAGTGCAAGGACCCAGGTTTGATCCCTGGTACCATGTGCCATGCTGGCCTCGGAACCCCAGGTACACTGTGCTGGTCACCAAAACTGGGCATGGTGGTACACGCCTGTAATCCCAGCCGTGGGGAGGCTGAGACAAGATTTAAATTTTTTTTTTTTTTTTTTTTTAAATTTTAAAGGGGGTTTTAGTAGGACTATTCACAGAGATTGAAAAATTACTAGCCCCTAGTGTCGACAAGGGTGTGGAAAATAAGCAGTCATTCTTGGGAAAGTACGAATTGGTAGTAGTAGGTTTGTTTTTGTAAGATAGGGTTTTGCTTTGTACTTTAGGCTGGGTTTAAACTGACTATAAGGGCCAACAAGATAGCTCAGCAGACTAAACGCCTGCTTAGGCAAGCATAGGGACCAGGGGATTCAGTCCCCAGCACCACATGCCACACCGGCCCCGACCCCAGGTGTGCTGAGCCAGCCAGCAACCCACTCCAGGCGTGGTGGTGCACACCTGTAAACCCAGCACTGGAGAGGCTGAAAACAGGAGGATCACTATGAGTCCGAGCAGCATAGTGAGACTCTGCACCAAATACATTTTAAAAATAAATAAGAGGAGCCTGGGAGATGGCTCAGTAGAATAAGCACTTCCCTGGCAAGTGCAAGGGCCTGAGTTCAATCCCCAGTTCCGCAAAAAAATAAATAAAAATAAGTAAACTGACTGTATTCCAGGCTGGCCTCCAACTTGCAGTGATCCTCCTCCCTCAGCTTCTCAAGGGCTGAGATTATAGGTATGCACCACCCTGTCCACTTGGTAGTGTTTATTGAGAGAAATTTGGTGTTTATTAGCATTTTGAATTTGCCAATACCTTGCCCTAGCACACTTCACTCAGAACAAGTACAGCTTACCCACATACCTATAAAATTTCAGGTTTATCTTCTTTTTTTTTTTTTTTTTTTTAGTGTATTTGGTACAGGGTCTTACTACGCAGCTTGGACTTGTAGAGGTCCTCTTGTTTTCAGCTTCACTAGTGCTGGGATTACAGGTGGGCTGGTTCAATGTGCCCTGGAGGCAGGGCCAGCTCAGGTTTATCATTTTTTTTAGAATTCTTTTATTCTGGACTATTTTTGTCTCATCAATTTTTTTTAATAAAATTTCAGAATCAAATAAGAGAATAACAATAGCTATTACACTGCGTACTGTTATCTTCAAAGTAGTTACTCAAACCAACAAGAGAGGCTAGGGAGATAGCTCAGTAGGATAAGTGCTTGCCTGGCAAGCACAGGGTCCTGAGTTCAATCCCCGGTACCACCAAGAAAACCCAAAAAGATTCTTAGAAAAAAACAGTAAATACAAACGTTTGTTTTCAACAAGCTAGGATAAACTAGTGGTATAAATGAATATGAAATCATTTGAACAGTGACCTGAATTTGGACACTGGACTAAGTAGGCAACACAGCAATAATGGGAATCACAACTGGTAATTCATTTAATCTTTGAAGCAACCATATATGGCAGGTGTTAGCTGATTTGACAGGCCCCTGGGTAGTTCCAGTAACTGACTTAGGGGCCTGGTGGACGTGGATTCCCAGCACCATCTTCTTAACTCCCACACAGCCATCCTCCCTGTAGGAAGATCTGTACCTTATTTCTTCTACAGGTTGAGCATCCCCTTTTGAATCCACAGCCTTTACACTGAGCTGCATCCCATCTTTTTCTGTTTTTAAGTGCAGACTCCGTAAGTTGCCCAGGCTGGGCTTAAACTCATGATCCTCAGCCTCTTGAATAGTAGTGACTATAGACAGGCAGCCCTGCAACTGTCCGTTGATCATCATCCTTAATTCCAAAAGTCCAAAATGCCCCAGAATGCAAACTTTGGGGTACCAACATGGTGCCACTAGTGGAAAATACCACCTCTGACCTCATTGACAGTGACAGTCAAAACAGAAACAGTGACAGGTGTACGGAAAATGACATAAAAACAAAAGAGAGATAAAAGGGCTGGGAATATGACTCGGCGGCAAAGCACCTACCTGGCAGACTCAAGGTCATGAGTTTGAATCCCAGTACCACAAAAACAAAATAAAACAAAGCGATGTAAAATTATTTTCAGGCTGCGTATATGAGATATATAGAAAACTTATGTGAGCCTGGTGTGGTGACACACACCTGTAAATCCAGCACTGAGGAAGATCTCAGCATTCAAGTCCAGCCTGAACTATATAGTGAGACCCTGACTCAAAAAACAAAACAAGGGCTGGGGAGATAGCTCATTGATTTAAGTGTCTGCCTGGCAAGCGCAAGGACCTGGGTTCAATCCCTGGTACCACATGCTCCTGTTCCCCTGCTGGGCCCCGAGACGGGGCGTGATGATGGTAAATGCCTGTAATCCCAGCACTGGGGAGGCTGAGACAGGATCACTACAAGTCTGAGCTGCGCAAGACCCTGTACCAAATAAATAAGGAATGAATGATTGGATGGTTTAAAGAAAGCATAAGTGGGTTATGTATTTAGACTTTGGTTCCATCTCAAGACATCTCATACATATGCAAATATTTCAGAATCTAGAAAAACCCGAAACACTTCTGTTTTCAGTTATTCCCAATAAGGCTCTCTCAACCTATACACAACTTTTTCAGAATTTTAAGAGGTTTTAAAGATGTGGTTACTGGCTTGCTTTTTAAAGGCAGATCTTGTGTAAATTCAGTGAGTACCAAGTAAACCTGTTTACCACCTTTAGACTACATGTATGGTTCATGTCTCATAATGGATTTTATGGACTGTTTTTCTTATGATTGACTTATTCCTGCAGGTGTAGAATTCCTGCTTTCTTTTGGCAAGTATTTTCTTTTTTTTTTTTTTTTTTTTTTTTGTATTTCTTTTTTTTAAATTAATTTTACTGAGAAACAAATAGCAATGAGACAGTTTCAAAACGGATTAGTAGGACAGTTTCAATAATTAATACATTACATATTGTTATCTTCGTAGTGGTTATTCATTGTACAAGATGCAGACAGGATATCCTGTCCAAACACTATTAGTACAAATCTTTCTTAATGAATTAAGAGAAAGTAGCTGTAAATCTATCCTATTTTGTATATACGGATACAAAACGGTCCTTCATTTGTATCTCCTTTTTTTGTTTTGTTTTATTAGAGATGGGTATTCCCTTGCCATTTAAATATTGTAGGTGCATGAATTCAGCAAAATAATCCAATATAGTCCAGTAGTCCATAATAGTAGTGGGTTATCCGTAGGACTGGCAATGTCAGAAGTTGTTGACTTGAGCCTTTTACAGCTCAGCACATTCTTATATTTATAAGAACGATACACATAAAAACTTCTTTTTTTTTTGGTGGAACCAGGGATTGAACTCAGACCCTTGCGCTTGCCAAGGAAAACTTAAATATAGGCCAATTAAAAAATAATCAGGACAAAAAAAAAAAAAAAATAATAATAATAATCAGGGCGGTAGGGTATAGCTCTATAGTAGCATACTCAGGGTCCTTAGCTCTAAAAACAACAACAACAATACTAGTAAAGATAGAACAAAATTGAACAGTAGAAATAGAGAAAACAAAAGAAAGGGGAAAATCACAAAAGTGAACGACCTGGATATCATCATTCAGTAGCAGATTTGCAAAGCAGCTTCTAAAGCCATGTCCTTGCACATTAATTATGTTCAGGTTGGCAAGCATTTTCTTGATTTTTGGATTTGTTTTTCCCCAATACATCCTTCTAGGTCCAAAAGCTGTCCAAGAATGAAGTACTTATGGTCAACATAGGATCTCTGTCAACAGGAGGGAGAGTTAGTGCTGTCAAGGCTGATTTGGGCAAGATTGTCCTGACTAATCCTGTGTGCACAGAGGTGGGAGAAAAAATTGCCCTTAGCCGAAGAGTTGAGAAGCACTGGCGGTGAGTGATTCAGCCTTCCCCTGTGGGAAGGAGTCAGTTTGCTTACATTCTTGGTGGGGCACATATGAGTGTACAGGCTTCTCAGAGCATAATAGTTAGTGTGGCTGCATCTCTCAGCTATTTATTTGAAGAACTATTTTTAGCCTCGATGTGTAGTTCCATATTTTATTTTTATTTTATTTTTGGCGGAACCGGGGATTGAACTCAGATCCTTGCGTTTGCCAGTCAAGTGCTTATCCTACTGAGCCATCTCCCCGGCCCCTGTAGTTCCATATTTTAGTCCAGAGATTGCAATTGGCATTCTTTTCTCATAGACATATCCAACAAATTTAGGCTCAATATTTCTGTTTCTTTGACCTTGCTTTTTTCTGCTGGGTATCCAACTCGGCCTTGCTCATGCAAATGCTTAGTAAACTAAGTAGTCCCAGTCTGTCCTTGACCCTTTTTTTTTTTAACTTTTTACTTGTGAAAGTCCTAAGAGCTCTTCCCAGAGAAGTAGCCACATCCACATTTATTTACATAGAAGTCTTTTTCTGAGTATTTCCAAAAGACAGGGATTTTTTTTTTTTTTTTCCCAGAACCGGGGATTGAACTCAGGCCCATGCTCTTGCCAGGGAAGCGCTTATTCCACTGAGCCATCTCTCTGGCCCTGGGAATCTGTCTTAGAACCACTTTAAGAAATGTGACATTGGTGAAATCCTGATCTCTGTTTTCAGATTGCAGTTTTCCTATCTGTCCCACTGAAGCCTTTTATGGCCCTTTAGTCTAGAATCCTGTGTTCCATTTAGGTTTCATATCTCTTTGATTTCTAATGTGACGCTTTTATGTCCTTTTCTTTTTCTTTTTTTCTTCTTTCTTTCTTTCTTTCTTTCTTTTTTTTTTTTTTTTTTTTTTTTTTTGGTGGTAGTACCAGGAATTGAACCCAGGGCCTTGCACTTTCCAGGCAGGCACTGTGCCACTGACCTACATCCCTGCCCTAGCCTTTTTAAAAATTGACCCTGCCAATTTTGAAGAATATAAGCAAGTTATTTTATGGACTATTCTGAAGCTTGTGTTTATCTAATTAGTTGAAAAGCTAAGATTATATATACCTGAAAAGCTAAGGTTATATATACCTGGTTCCTTCGCCGGGACCATAGGATATCTTACTGTTCTTCCTTGTTGAGGTTCATTTTGATCATGTGATTGTAATGTTGTCCAGTTTCCATGCTGCATAGTTACTCTTTTCACCCTGGCAACAAGTAAGAAATCTGTGGAGAGACTTTGTTTTTGAAATGGTCTCACTATGTAACTCAGGCTGATCTTGAACCTGGTAGTGATTCTCCTGTCTTAGCCTCCCAAGTGCTGGAATTACAGTTGTGTGCCACCACACCTGGCTGTGTGGAGAGACTTTGAACCTTGTTTTTTAAAATCAGTACTGGGGATTGAGCTCAAATCCTAGTGCATGATAGACAAGCATGTTACCACTAAGTTACAGTCCCATCCTTTTTTGGGGGGTATACCAGGAATTGAACTCAGGACCTTGTACTTACCTTGTGCTGGCCCCTCCATCCTTTTTATTTTTGAATGAGGTTCTCTCTCTAGGATGACCTGGAACACCCTGTGTAGTCCAGGCTGGGTTCAAAATCATGGTCCTCCTGCTTCAGCCTCCCAAGTACTGGGGTTACAGACGTTTGGTACCATGCCCAGCTTTTTTGATGAGCAGGTTTTAGACTGCTTCCTATGTCCCTATGACATGTCTCCACCATTTTTTAAAAAAAAACACATTTCTGTTTTTTGGCCCAAGATGTTCCAGACTCCTACCTTCCCTGCTTCAGGTTTTTTGTGTTTTGTTTTGGTTTGTTGTTGGTATTTATTTATTTTGTGGTACTGGGGATCAAACTCAGGACCTTGTGCTTGCCAGGCAGGCACTTATCCTGCTGAGCTGTCTCCCCAGTCCCCTGCTTCAGCTTTATTTTATTTTATTTCATTTTTTGGTGGAACCGGGGATTGAACTCAGGCCCTATTCCACTGAGCCATCTCCCCGGTCCCTGCTTCAGCTTTAGAATTGGCCATTTCTGCAAGCACTGGTTCCCTTTCCTGGGAAATGTTGCCTAGAAATGAAGATCTGTGTGCTAGGTGTACTTGTTGCTCCTAAGGTGCTGTTGCTTCTAGGTCCTCTGAGTGGCTAGAGGTAGGAAGTACAAATGTCTTTGGTTTCTGCCACTTTTTTTCTTTCTCAAGTTAGTATTGAGTCTGCCCTTTCTGTTCTGTGTGATGTCAGTCTCTACCACCATCATTTTCCACTTAAGAGTTATTGTAAAACCTCCTGCTTCATCTCATTCTTCGTTATTTAAGAGCTCAATCAAATGTAATCTTTCTAAAATGCTTTGATATGTCGTGCTGAATAATTCCTTCTAGCTTCTCATTGCTGTTGGATATTCAGGACCTTTCTAGAGGCCTGCTTCACCTGCTTACCTTCTCTCCTGCTTTGTCTCATCTGTACTCTCTAAATCTCACTATCTTATATTCCATTTCTCTTTATAATTATTTTAGTCACTCTTGGCTTTCTTTGTTTTATAGAAGTTAAACTTTGTTATCTTTTAAGTAAATTTGATCTGTGGTACTTTATGCCCCTTTGATTCTGTTTTTTGTTTGTTTTTTTTTTCTGGTACCGGAGATTGAACTCAAGACCTTGTGCTTGCCAGGCAAGCGCTTATTCTACTGAGCTATCTCCCTGGCCTGCCCCTTTGATTCTGTTCTTTTGTGATTCTACTAATTGCTATTACAGATATACTGATTTCCAATGTATTTTAAGATAGGTTAAATAGGGGCTGGGGAGATGGCTCAGTAGAATAAGCACTTCCCTGGCAAGCGTAAGGGCCTGAGTTCAATCCCCAGTTCGGGGAAAAAAAAAAAGGTTAACTAATAAACCAAAAAATCTCTCAATATACAAATGATAGTACCTGTTTAAATGCTACATTGCATAGAGTGGGGCTGATTTTAAGAGAAGGGATCTTTTGTTGTGCCTACAAATATAAGAGGACTATCCAAATGAGCTTTCAGATTTTCAAAATTAGTGAGTATGTTGAAGTCCTAAAAAGAGACAAAGTGAGCGTCTGAATGATCTCTACATTCAGTAGAATTACAGTTTTTACCCATGTTTAAGGGAGCTTTGTTTGGGAAACTCCAGTTGAGGAAGCAGTGTCCAGCCTGGCACTTGCCTAGGACAGACAGAGAAGAGGGGAGAGAAGACAGACTGTTGTGGTTTGTTCTCGGGCACACTCTGGACTGAGTGTGGGCTGAGGGCTCTTAGGGGGATTAATTGAAAAGGGGTAGCTGTGTTTTGATAGAGTACAGGTGAGGACATTCATGGTGGAAATTTTGCTTGCTTTTCCTGCCATGCTGGCAGAGCCCATCTGCCTAGCTCTAAGAATCTTGGGGTATAGCACGTTCTTTTTGTGGAGGTGCAGGCTTTCGGCACATTTACAAGATGAGCAAATAAAATCAGCGCATCATATAATATAGAAATGGGAAGGAAGTGGATGTAAAATTCATGACTCCTATTTTCATTTTGCAGTTTAATTGGTTGGGGTCAGATAAGAAGAGGAGTGACAATCAAGCCAACCATAGATGATGACTGAAGAGTCCCAGTTCAATAATGCATCTGGATGCAGCTGGAATTTTCTGAACAATTAAGGGGTATATTTTCAAAGTAATACTAGGGAATTAATTTCACACCTCATTACTTTAGTAGGTAGATGTAAAGTTATTCTTATTTTTAGGTGATGAAAATCTAACCTCTAATACTAATGTGAGGTCTCCAATAAATGTAAAAGTTGGTGTAATGTTGGATTGAATCTACATTTTGCCAGAAATTAAGCATTTCCAAACCAGGTCTTATTTATACATCGATACAGGTTTGAAGTGAAGCCACCACAACCAGCCTTCTTTCTCTGTAGCACACATGCCACTGAACCTGCCTGAAATAAAGTTTTTCTCATTTTTTATAATTCACCTTTTAATAGCTCTAGGCTAAAGGACTGTTACTGCCAGTAAAAACTAGAAGACATAAATTCTTAAAAATCAGGTACTCCTTTTTTGTTTGCTCTTTTCTGCCCTCTATCAACTATTTCTCCTGTGCCATCCTACCCTGCCCTGGAGCCAGCTGCTTATGAACTGAAACTTTTACAAACTGTGAGCTAAATAAACCTTTCCTCCTGTAAAAAAGAGATCAAGTACTCTTTGTTAGACCTCATATTTTATGTTGCTCTAAAAAACTTTAAAATTTTTTTTTATTAATACATGATGCCAGCACATAATGATTACGTTCATCGGGGAGTTGCTATGTATACATGGCACATCTTAACTCTGCACTGTCTCCCCCGTGTTACTTTATCCTTGGAATCTTCAGTGAAAGGGACATTAGACTCACATGAAATTGGCCTCGAGTATGAATGCTTGTTCCACCTATGAACCCGTCCCCAATTCTCTTGGGCTGAAACATAGGAAACCTAAAGCGAAAGTTCTCACCCTCTCCCTGTGGTGCCCTGCAATTATTTCTGCATTGGTTTACACCTGAAACCTGATAGTCCTGCCCCATTGGAAGAAGTGTAGTCAATGATTGTGGATAGCTAACAAAGCTGTGTCCGGGCTTTTTTTTTTCCCCCTCTGTGTTGTTGGCTTGTTTAGTGTTGTGTTTTGTATTTTGTGATGCTGGGGAACCAACCCAGGGCCTACGGCATGTTAGGCAAGCACTCTAGCTCTGAGCTCCCCTCCACTCTAAGCCCTGTTTTGTTTTTGTTTTTGTTTTTTTTTAAACTGTTTGCTTACTAAGATTATAACATAGATTCTGGTATTAATCTTTGAACCTTGCAAAAGATTAAAAGTACAAGATGCCAAAAAACAAAGGTTGAGTCTTTTTGATTGTTTTTTAATTATTATTATTTTTTTAAATAACCCTTCTACCTGTACTTTTCATAGGCTGTTCTTTTATAGAGCTTCTATTTATGTCTTTGCTTCATAAGAGATTCTTTTAGAGCAGTAACTCCTAACTGGCTACCATTAGAATTGCTAGGTAAGCTTTTTAAAAAAGAAGATGCCCCCACAGGTTTTGATCTAAATTGGCTTGGGGTAGAAGCCAGTGTGATATTCTTAAAAGTATAAATTTAAAACTTAAGAGGTAGACGTATTGAATAATAGTATCTCACTAAGTTCTGGTGGTCTGATAATCTATAGTTTGCTCTTCTTAAAACTGTGTTGAGATGAAGTTTCATGCCATAGTCACTGTCTTGTGCTCTTAGAGGTTGAAGCTGCCTTGTAGAAGTCTAGAAGCTGTGGCTGTGGATCATTATTTAACTTTCTAAGTCTTGAGGAAGCATATCAATGTTATATTCTTGATTGACTTTCAAGGGTTGTATTGTAGTATGAGGACCACAATTAAATAAAAAAAGTTCTAAATCAAACATCAATTTTATATCTAATATGTCCCCATGTGTTTTGTAATCATTTTCTACCAGAAACTGGAATAAGTGCCAAAAGTGTGACTAATTTATCATTGACCCCATATCAGAACTGAAACCAGAAATCTTTGGCAGTTAAATACCCACAGGAACTTCCACAGCTTTGCCAAGCACTGTGCTTAGTGTGCTGGGTTATCTAGATAGGAAAACATCGGCTCTCGCCGTGGGACTTCGAGTGGCACACTGACTTCCAGCTGGTGGTGTGCCTGGTGAGGCCCCGCAGGTCATGCAGTCTCACTGAGAGTACACTTCATATGCAAGGCCTTTGGGATGTGGCATCAAGGTGTAAGATGTTTTCAGAATCTCAGCAGTGCTCATCACCCTGCTACCATCCCAGTCCACGCCACTGGTGGGGCCAGGCATGGTGGTGCATGCCTATACTTGCTGCTTGGGAGGCTGAGGCAGGAGGCATTCGAGTTTGAGCCCAACCTAGGCAGCTTCGCAACTGTGATCCTGTTGAGAGAAGAAAGAAAGGAAAAAAGACAAAGAGCTGGGGATCTAGCTTAGTGTGAAAGCCCTAGGTTCAGTCCTCACCACTGGGGTGGAAAGCACCAGGGGTTTCACCCAGAAGAGCCTTGAGCTCCTGCCTGCTTTTGTGCGTACCCATTTGGTCTTTCATGTACCAGCCAGAGAGCCTTTCAGCAAGAATGCTGCACAACTCTAAAGAGCAGTCCTAAACGCAGTCTCACAGCTGTGATGCAAGCCAAGGGGTCTCCAGACTGACTGGCCTGCAAAGATCTGCCCATTCTGCTCACGTGCAAGTTCAAAGGTGATATGTAGGTATGCTTGTTTTTAGATTTTTTTTTTTTTTTTTTTTTGGTACTGGGGATCAAACTCAGGACCTTGTGCTTGTGCTTGCCTAAGCAGGCACTTTTAATCCACTGAGCTATCTTGCTGGCCCACATACAGGGTTTTTCTAAGGCTAATGAAGCAGTTGAGATGAAATCGGGAGGGCTGCACATCATCAGCAATCTCATATCACGTGTGGCATTGTTAGGTTCCCTGTATCCTCATTAAGGCCCAGCCAGGGCAGGAGTGCCCGCCTCACCTCCACACTGTTGCTTTGTCCTTGGCTGGGATGGGAGGTACCCATGCTGGGGCCGGAGCAGATCACGTGGCTTATGACCTGAGGGCAGCTGAGAGAGAAAAAAAACTTAAGACAACTTGAGAGCCGCGTGTGGTAGTGCATGCCTGTAATCCCAGCACTTGGGAGGTTTAGGCAGGAGGATCGCTGCAAGTTCGAGGCCAACCTGGACTGCATGGTGAAACCCTGTCTCAAGACAAGAAAAAAAGAACTTGAGTGAGGTGACAAGGTCAAAATAAAATTGCAAAACACAAGTGCAGTGTAACTGGGTGTACATTAGGTAAGCAGAAGTATAAATACCAGTAGTATAACAGTAGTACAAAGTAACATTTTGTTAAAAGAAACAGGTGTTAATAAAGTAGATATCATGGACAGGAATATTTTACATGGGATTGTCTAGCTTTTCTAAAAATTCAATGAAAAGTCAGTTTCAGTAAGGCTTTCAAAAGAACTTGTCCAGCTGATACAACATATTTGGAAAAGTAAATTCACAAGTATAGTAAACTTTTGAAAAAGAAATAGGCCGGGGAGATAACTCAGTGGCATAAGTGGCTGCCTAGCAAGTGCAAGGTCCTGAGTTGGGTCTCCAGTACCAAAGGCGGGGAGGAAAATAGGATGGTATGGTTGACATCATATCTTAGAACATGAAACCACATATAGGTGTACTGATCAGGGATTGGTCAATCAACAAAATTTAGAACCAAATTTACATTTGGTTATCATAACACATGCCATTGGTGACATTTGATGTCAGTGAGGAAAGGACAGGCTGAGAACAGGAACAAGGCTGGTTGTGATGGCATAGGTCTGTAATCCCAGGACAAAGGAGGTTGAGGCAGGAGGCTCACTGCAAGTTTGAGGCCAGCCTGAACAACAGACAACAGAGCAAGATCCTGTCTCCAAAAAAACAAAAAATGAACACAAAACTTATCAAATGTCTAAGGCATGGGAGTATTAGGCTTTACAATAGATTTTTGTAATAGGACTAGTCATCTGAGGTAAAAATGTTCTATTGAGAACAGTATTTAAACCAGGCATGGTGGCACATGCTTGTAATCCCAGCATTTGGGAGGCTGAGGCAGGAGGATCATTGCGAGTTTGAGACCAGGCTGGCCTACAAAGTGAGCTTAAGGCCAGCCTGAACCGCAGAGTGAGACCCTGTCTGAAAAAAAAAAAAAAAAAAAAACTGTACTTAAGATTTAATTTTATATGCAAAGTGTGAATCCTAAGATCAGGGGGCTCTTGCGGATGTTTTAATAAAGTTCTCTGTCACATTGAAAAAAAAAATTAATTTTATTGAATTAAACTACAACATCATGAACAAAGGAAATGTAGGAGACTTTTAATAATTGGAGTCAAGGTACAATAAATCCAAGAACCTTAAAATAGTTGAAAGGTTTGACATGTTAACATTCAGTAGTAGTCCAAGTGTGGTAGTGCTGATGTGTAACTTAAAAGGCTAAGGCCAGGGCTGGTGAGATGGCTCAGTGGTCTAAAGCACCTACTTAGAACAAGCTTAGCAAAGCCCAGGGACCACGGTTCAATCCCCCAGCCCCACATGCCAGCCAGCCCCGCCCCCTGGTGGGCTGAGCTGGACACACACACACACACACACACACACACACACACACACTAAATAAATATAAATAAATAATTTAAAAAAAAAAAAAAAAAGGCTAAGGCCAGAGGATTGAAGGGAGGCTAGCCTGGGTAGCAGTGAGACCCTGTCTCAAAAAATAAAATACAGGCTGGGGAGCTAGCTCGGTGGTCTAAGTGCCTGTTGGCAAGCTCAAGGACCCGGGTTTGATCCCCAGTACCTCATGCTGTCCCCTGTACCAAATAAGATTTTAAGAAAATGGATTGGGAATGTAGTGTACCTCAGTAGAAGAGGATCCTTGGGTTCAGTCCCCACACAATAAGGAAATAGAAACCTGGCCAAAAATAACCCCCCAAAAAACAACCACATTGTGTGGCTTTAGTAAGACTAGCAGAGGGGCCGGGGAGATGGCTCAGTGGAATAAGTGCTTCCCTGGCAAGCGCAAAGGCCTGAGTTCAATCCCCCGGTTCTGCCCACAAAAAAAAAAAGACTAGCAGAAAGCAAGCCCTGTGGCGTTCACTTGCACCCTGGCTTAAGGTGGGCGAAGATACAAAGTTTGCAGTAGTGCCATGGTCAAAGCCGCAGGTGGGGTGTGTTGGCCCCATGGAGTTTGGTTTCGTTTTGGTTTTTTGACATGGTCTCATAGCCCAGGCTAGCCTTGAACTCACTGTGTAACCCAGGCTGACTTTGGAAGATCCTTCTGCCTCATCCTGTTGAGTGAGGGCTGGGATTACAGGTGTGCACCACCATGCCTGACCCCATGGAGTTTTCTTTGTACCCCAGATTTCATAGATCACTGTGCTGCCACCAGTGACTTTCACGAAGCAGATTCTTGCTTGATCTGTGGTGATGACTTTGGCAACTTAGAAAAACCTGTTTCAAAAACAATAGGGCTGGTGAGATGGCTCAGTGGTCTAAAGCTCCTACTTGGAACAAGCTTGGCAAAGCACAGGGACCGCGGTTCGATCCCCCAGCACCACATGCCAGCCAGCCCCGCCCCCAGGAGGGCTGAGCTGGCCACACACACACATAATAATAATAATAAATTTTTTAAAAATGCTTCAGTTTCCATCAATAAAGTAAGTCTGCTTAAAAAAAAAAACAATAGAGCTGGGAATGTAGCTCAGTGCTAGAGTACTTAACTACCAGCTGGAGCACTGAGTTCAACCCTCAGCAAACATTAGAGATTTATAGTATGCGTTGGTGAGATAGATTACTTGTGGGAAATGTAAACTGGTACATTCTATAAAGAGGCTGTTTGGGGCTGGGGATATATAGCTCAGGCATAGCGCCTGCCTGGCAAGCGCAAGGTCCCGAGTTTGATTCCCAGTACGGGGGGGGGGGAGGCTGTTTGATTCTGTCATGATGTATTATGATGTATTAGTCATTTTCTGCTTCCAGGACAAAATACCCAACAGCAGAATATGGTGGCACATGCCTGTCATCCTAGTACTCACTTGGGAAGCTGAAGCAGGAGAATCGCAGTGAATTCAAGGCCAGCCTGGGCACATAGAAAGCTCAAGACCAGCCTGGATGACAGATATCCTGTATCAGAAACAGTAGAGATACTGGGACAGATATCCTGTCCCAAAATAACAAAAAATAATCTCCAAATACCCAACGCCCAAAAATCAGGAGAAAAACTTTATTTCAGCTCATAGCTTTCAGAGAATTCAATCCATGTTCACAATACTGAGATTCCATCTCACTCCAGAAAGAATAGCAGTCATCAAGAAATCAACCAATAAAAACAAAAACAAAACCCTGAAACTTCCACAAACTGTGAGCTAAGGGCCAGGGATATAGGTCAGTGGCACAGTGCCTGCCTGGCAAGCACCAGGTCCTGAGTTCAATTTCTGATACCAAATAAATTTTAAAAAAGAGAGAGAGAAATCAACCAATAACAAATGCTGGTGGGACTGTGGGGAAACAGGAACCCTCTTTCCTGTTGGTGGGAGTGTAGACTGGTGCAGCTGCTGTGGACATCGGTGTGGCGAGTCCTCAAGAACCTAGAGCCAGCTGTCCGATTTGACCCAGCTATTTCCCTCCTGGGTATCTTTCCAAAAGAATTGAAAACATACCACTGCAATATATGCACACCCAGTTTTATAGTGTCAGAGTTTGTGATAGCTACAGCCTAGAAATCAAATGCTGATCAACTGATGACTGGATAAAGAAGATGTGGGCTGGGCTTGCTGGCGCATGCCTGCCTGTAATCCAGCACGGAGGCAGGCAGGAGGATCACTGCAAGTTGGAGACCAGCCTGGGCTACC